TTTTTTTTTTTTTTTTTTTTTTTTTTTTTTTGGGGGGGGGGGGGGGGTCCCTGTAAGATTAAAATGTCTTAATGCACTAGTTTGTACAAACTACAAACTACTTTGCCGCAAACCACAAAACGCGCAAAACCATCATTTAAATAGGGCGTCTCCAACAGTTTTGCACCTGCCACCAGTTACGCAATCACTCTTGTTAAATCACCCGCAAACCATGGTTCAGCCCCGCGCGCAAAATTCCAGTTTGCGAGCGCAAATTACTGCACGCAAAATTGGATCTTGATAAATCCGACTCTAAATCAGTAACAGTAGTTTCTGTTAACATAAAACCACAGATTTAATCGTTCAGGTTGACTCACCTTTGGTTTCAATGTTCACTCCTGATTTAGGCAAGTTAACTGTTTTCTCTCAATTGTCCAGTTAAGGTAAAGATCTCATTTATTCACATGAACAGAAAATATATATATTTCCACTATTAATGTAACCAAAACGACAGACGTATACAGCATGGGGTTTACCTGCGAATGAAGCCCCCACTGATGGCCATCTGTTCACGTTCGTCTACCACACGAGCCCCCGGCTGGCTGTTCACCACTCCGTCCTGGTTCGATCCCCAGGCCTGACCACTGCCCTTTATCCTAGTGCAGACATATTTCAGTCAGGGACACTGAAGATGCCAGAAGGCTGTTATGTGGATGTTGATGAATGTGTAAAATTAACATGTTAACTACTTAGCCTAAATCTGCGTGCCCCATTTATGGAGTTCAACTAGCATGTTTGAGTCAAAATGTTGATGTGCATGCATGTTTTTCACTATCAAAACACACATATATATATATATATATATATATATATATATACATATATGTGTGTGTGTAATATGGCATGAAGCTAATGATTCTAACAGAAGCAGCATGACAAGCACATGTGGTATACAGTACTTCCATGCATTTGCAATATGTGGATAAATAATTGATCCAACATGCAGATCAATTGAACACAAAAGCTGAAGTGTTGCTTGCATTCAGAAGAAATTCAAACACAGAATACAGTTAGCACAAAGAGGACAACACACACAGACACACCAGACAGACATGAACCCCTGTAGACATGCAGAGACTTGGTACAGAGTGGGAACAGGATCAGACACATGCTATAGCTGTCAAAGAAAGCTGAGCTGTTAGATCCAGTATAGAAATCAAACCCATGAAAGGAAAAAAAAAAAGATAAAACAAGGTCATTTTAGGTCTAAATAGCCCTTCATTTCATTTGGATACAAGCGAGTTCAGTCCCTTTTTTGTTTTAATATTTTTTTGTTCATTAAACGTCTGTCAGATGTAGGTCTACACTGGAGGAAACATGTCATCCAATTACTGGCATTGGCAAGTGCATTTTTCTTTGTTTTCATCTAATGAACTCGTTTAGCATGTGCATCTAAATAAATTTGAAAGGGATAGAAACGTCCAATGAAATGGATTATCTCATTTATTGTAAAGATGCAATCATTTTGAAAGGGGTCAGAGGTGAGACCGCTCCAGTTTGTATGTCGCTTGACCATCATTTTTTGTTTAAGATTTCACTTTCACTTAGATTTTATTTTTATATGCTGATATATTTCTTTCAAAAATAACTTTTGAGAGGCAGCACAGCTGATTCTGATGATTTAAATTTAGCAAAAGCCTGTTAATCGGCTATCAATGAAAATCTGATGCACTGAAGCAGAGAAACCTCTAAACTTCCTCGAGGACTGACTTTTGGCATGCCTGGTTTAGATTTTTTGAGCCTAAATAGAATTCCAGCACCGATCTTGATGAGCAGCCATAAATAAACATGGCGCCATCTGCTGGTGATACCATAGAATTACCAGAAAGCCAGATGGCTACAACTGATGCATCTACCTAACATAGGCTGAACGTCCTGGTTTAGTGTTAATGAGGAAGTTTACAGTCTACAGTAACATCTTGCAGCTTTAGTATCCTCTTCAGTTGAACACTAACGTTCATACTGAATCTCAGGGCTGTTCAAGTTGTATTTCTTTTTGAATCCAAAAAATGTTCCCATTTATTTCACACTGGGTCTTAGACTTTTCTTTATTATTTTCTCAACTTTTCTCCTATCGCGTAGCAACATTACTTCCTTGTTTACTCCCTGAGCACATGCACAGCCTTATACCTTCGTTAATGGGGCATTTGTTTGCCAATATAAAAAAAGGGTCTTCATTTATGGTCAAATTCAGATAAAAAACATAGTGCAGACCATTACAATAACAATAAATATGTATAAATACCCAAAGGACACAGCAATTATCCAGTTAAACTCTGTATGAATGTAAGCACCTTCCCATTCTTCACCCATTTGGCTCAATATCGCGTTGATCCACCCTTTTCAGCTATAAAAGCTTCAACTCTAACCTGCAGGCTGTCCACATGGTTTAGGATCCGGTTTATGGGAATTTTTGACAATTACTTCATTAGCGAGGTCATAGACTGATGTTGGACAACAAGGGATGACTTCAGCCTCCACTCTTATTCATCCTAACCGTCAATCAGGTTTAGGTCAGGACTCTGTGGGCCACTCATCCATGGCATCTTCACAGACTTTTGTCATCTTTAACTGTTCCTACCAAAGTTGGGAGCATGGGGTGGTCCAGAACCTCTTGGTATTACCGTACTTCACTGGAACTAAGAGGCCATTCCAGCTCCTGAAGTAAGGTCAGACAAGCACCGCTCTCCTGGCAACCACCAAACCCAGAATGGATGTTAGAGGGACGATTGTCCACTTTAGAGAATGTTCCTTCAGTGCTGCAGAGTCCAGTAGAAGCATGATCTACACCGTCACCTGCATGCGTTGGATACAGCAGCTTGGCTGTGAAGATCCAGTCCAAGAAGCTCTCTATCACTGTTTTTAAGGCGAATCTGAAAGCAACACGATTTTTAGAGGATTGTAGATTGTTTCAGCAGAAAGTTGGAGACCTCTGCACACTATCCCCCTCTGCATTAGCTGCTCTCGCTCCGTCAGTTTATGTCCCCACGTTACTGTTGCTCCCATTTACTTCCACTTTGTTATGAGACCATTAGCAGATGACGGTGAAGATTAATTAGGAACATTTCATGACACGCAGCCTCCTACCATAGAACTAACTTGGAAATCTTTTGATTTCCAGACAAAAATTTGTGCAAAACAGTCTGCATAACAATCAGGGTGTTTAATGTAAATTATTTTATGTTTAGCTATGATTACATACACGTTTAACCTTCTGAATGGAATCACTGAAATAAAATACCTTTTTTAATCTATGCTAATTTATTGAGATACACCTGTAGCACCTACCAGCTGCTCCAGTTAGAACTAATATAAAATGTACTGAATAAATGAAACACGTGACTTTACAAAAAAAATGGTGACATTATTTGTGAGTGACGGGAAAAAGGACCAAAGAGCTATAAAATATACAAGATCTTAGAAACAGGAGCTGCAGGTTGTACACCAATCCTTAATATAATGCTTATCAGGCAGATCTAATATGTTGCTGAAAGGATCCATCCTTGGAAACAAAAAAAAAAATCAATATAACAGCAGCTGGATTAGATATGAAGAATTCAAATCTGATTATTATATGACAATAAAATTATTTTGTTTATACCTAGCAGAAAACAAACAAAAAAACTCACATTAAACCAGTCAGTGTTAAAGCTACAGTGTGTAATTTTCAGCGACATCTAGCG